AGCAGCAACATCGGGAGGGGATCCTCTTTACAGCTGGTTATAAAGATCTTAATTTCAAGGGTCCATGTACCCAAATAGTATATACCTTGGCCTTCATGTAGTCCCTATATAGATACTTTGGTGCCAATGTATATACTATTTGGGTACATGGACCCTTAGGGTTAATTTCAAGGATGCTACTGCTCGGTTGCATGGTTCCTGTTCGACAGCTGTTGGTTAATATAGGGGCCTCAATAATGAGAATAGGATTTTGGGGTATATTATACTATAAGTATAATAAGGAGCCCCCAAAACTCGATTCTAATTATGAAGGCCCCTACATTACACCCTGAGACATTCCTGAGTGACGACAGGCGGCATCCTTGTCCGATCCGGCAACCTGGCGCAACAACCCTGAAACCCTATAGCCTGAGCTTCAAACAGTCAGAGGGATCCACATGGGGTGTTGTCAAAATTATGGTCCCTTTTGGGGTACCCTAAATAATAGGTGCCGTATTGTAATAAGGACCCAAAAAGGGGACCATAGTTTTGACAACCACCCACATGTTGAAGCGCTGTCCGCCCCCAACGGCCGCCATAAGGAGCATCTTAAGTTCACTAGCTTGTTGGGCAAGAAGAAGAAGGATAGCAACAAAGGCAACACAAGCGACCAGAATCGATCCTCCCTGAACCCAAACCGTGATCTGATCCCTGAACCCCCCAGAGACTCCAATATCCCTTAATTACGGAATATACTTTAAATTATAGTAGGAACCCTAATATGATTTAAGGTATATTCCTTAATTAAGGGATATTGGAGTCTCTGGGCCCCACCAAGCCCGACACGCCCAAAGCCCTTCAGTAGATACTCAACCAGAACTCCGTGGTACAGGCTCGGAAGCATGGTTTGTAATAAAGGGGCCTTATTAATGTTCAATAGGTTTTTTTTCGGGGGGGGCATTATACTATAACTATATCCAGGAACCCCCAAAATAATACAGGTACCAGCAATTATTAAGGCCCCTACGTTATATACCCGTGTTGGTTGTTCTTTTAACTTCGGGGGTTGGGCTGCTGGGTTGTCGAAACACGAGTCAAAGCATCACCCAACCCTTTCGTATACGATCCCCTTTTCAGTTCGTAGATCATTGCACTACAAAATATAAAGCCCTATTCTAATCTGTCTGAGGCCGTCGTAGTTGTAGTGGTAGTGGTAGTGGTTATTCGTCCTTGGAGTTTTCTTGACTTCGCTGCCAGGTTCGGACTCGAGTGCCTGCCTATGAGCCATTGCTGTGGTAGCAGTAGTAGTAGTAGTAGTAGTAGTAGTAGTAGTAGTGGTAGTAGTAGTAGCAATAGTAATAATAATAGTAGTAGTAGTAGTAGTAGTAGCAGTAGCAGTAGCAGGAGTAGTCGTCAGGGTAGTCCCAAGTATCATTATCGTGAAGTTATTACGGGGAACATGACGGCATGAACGTTAAGACTATTGGTTGAGGCTTGCCGAAGTTCTAAGACTCCTTTTAAAGCTTCAGCCGCAACCCTTCAGAGGAATTGAACTCGGAAGAGCTACACCTTCATGCTAACCGCTTTAAGATCTCAGCCTTAAAAAGAGGACACGAATAAGGACGATAAGGCCTCAAATCCACAGCCCTAGATTGGATTGCTGTAGAGGAAGTCGGTCTCCGGCATGATCCGTTCAGAGCCCTTGAGGTTTTAGGGCTTGGTGCGCAGGGTTAACGGGTATTATAGTCAAGAACCCTATAACCCCAAAGCCCTAACCCTAGACCCCGAACCCTAGAACCTGACACTTAAACCCTAAAACCCTAAACTCAAAACTCTAAATCCTTATCAGGCCTTGAAGCGGGAATTTCACCGACCTGAGGAAAGGAGCTGAAGTCCGCCGAGAAGCCGGATCGTCTATCTCACGGCGCCTGGCCTCGGGCATTGAAGGCTGCTATTAGGGTGTAGGGTTGAGGGTTTCAGGGTTTAGGGTTTAGGGTGTAGGGTTGAGGGTTTCAGGGTTTAGGGTTTGGGGTTTAGGGTTGAGGTTGAGGTTTAGGGTGGCTCCTTATCAGGATCCCATTAAGCGAGCTTTAAGAGCTCCGTTAGGGGCTCCTTTAGGGGCTCCTGTAAGGACTCCGCCGCGGTCTTCCGTAAAGCGGTGCCACGAGGCATCCTGAAGGTTTCCGCAAGGTTTGCCCAGTTTGTGTCATCCGCCTAGGATTATTGTAGGGGCCCTAATACTATAGTTATAATAAGGAACCCTAAGGCATAATAGTGGTATTTATATACTTTGGCTTCAACTTTGGCTTCTAGATTAGATCTATCCCTGTCTCAGGATGAAACCGATCTTGAGAAGCAGATTATCTTCATGTCGCAGTGGTTGGTGCAATACCACCACGAATAACCGTTGCTTCTCTTATATTTGCTACGTTCTTACCCTCTAAATCCGAAGCCCTATGCCCTGAAACCCTAAAGACCTAAGCCTCCTGAACCCTAAAGCCCTAAACCCTAAACCCTAAACCCTAAACCCTAAAGACCTAAACCCTAAAGCTTAAAACCGTAAACCCGAAAGCCCTGGAGCCCTAAAGACCTAAACCCCGAAAGCCTAAGGCCCCAAACCTTAAAGACCTAAACACAAAACCCTAAAACCCTAAACCAACCCAGACCCGAGAGACTTTGCCCTAAACCCTAAACCCCAAGGTGCCCTTGTCAAGGAGGTCGAGTTCATCGAAAGCAACGGCCGTTCAGGGCTGAGGCGGCTGAGGTGCCGGGCACAGGCAGAAGCTGCGCCTGTTCCGCGTAATGTAGTCGACATAGATAGTGATAAACCCTAAACCCTAAATCCCTAAACCCTAAACCCTAAACCCTAAAGCCCTAAACCCCTAAACCCCCAAACCCCTAAACCCCTAAATACCTCGGGGTTGTGGTGGTCTAGACCTTTCGGCTTCGGCGGTGTTCAGTGGTGGGGTCTTCGGAGCGGGATTTGGGAATTTGGGGCTTTCCGAAAATAGGGGGCCCTAATATAGTACCCTAAATAGTAGGACCCTTATTATAAGGACCCCAAAATAAGGTATCCCTTGTTTTCGGAAACTCCCATTTCTGAGGCCTCCACTACCAGATCGTGAATGGCACCGGCCCGGAAAGCGGATGGGCCTCTCGGCCCAGACAGTCGCAACATCGAGAACTTAATGTAGGGGTAGTTGTCAAAATTGGGGTCCCTTTTCGGGGTACCCTAAATAATAGGTGCCGTATTATAATAAGGACCCAAAACCGGACCCTAATTTTGACAACCACCCAATATAGGGGAACTTAATATGGGAGTTTCCGAAAATAAAGGGTACCTTATTTTTTGGGGGGTCCTTATAATAGTGATCCTACTACTTAGGGTGCTATATTAGGGTCCCCTATTTTCGGGGACTCCCATATAGGGGCATTTAATAATTATCTATACTATTTTTTGGGGTGGGATTCCTTATTAGAATTCTGGTATAGTATACCCCCAAAACCCTATTCTAATTATTCAGGCCCCGACATTCGTCAGTAGAGTAGGATGTGTAGACGGCTTCTTGCAAAGGATTCCATCAGGGCTACTATCAGGGTCTGGTAGACTTCTCCGAGACTGTCTGTACCAGCCAAACTGATCACATAAAGTTCGGTGGTATGTTCAAGCACAGCCATGTAGTGGTTGTAAGTATCCGATAATTCGGGTTTATGGTTGAGCCACTCGCCCATGTTCGAAGCCCATATCCCCCCAACTGAGCCTCCCGAACCCTAAACCCTAAACCCTAAACCCTAAACCCTAAACCCTAAACCCCAAACCCTAAACCCTACAACCCTGAAAACTTTGATTCCGAACACCCCAGGGCCCCATACTCTAAACCTCAGGTGCGCAGCGAACTGTAGCTACTGTAGCGAAATGTCCGGCTCGCTGGTGTAGGACGTGCGATTTGGGGCTTAGTGTTGGGGTTTAGGGTGAAGGTGCCGAGTTTGGGGTTCCGGATGTCTGTTTATTAAACTGCCTTGAACCTCCCTAAGCCCTAAGCCCTAAACCCTAAACCCTAAACCCTAAACCCTAGCCATAGCCCCAGGTCAGCATTCAGATCTCGGGGAAGGACATCTCGTCGTTGTCAACGAACTGAGATCCGTTGAGTGATTTGCGCTTTAACTTTAGATATGCTGAAGGCTTTGATCGAGTCCTTGCTAACGGGGTTTCTGGAGGCTTTGGAGACTTATTCCTTCAGACATTGCGTGGGCTCCTGGCAACGAAAAAATTCCCAGCCAAGGGTGCAGGATTTGAGGCATGGGGTTCAGGGTGTCTTCTTCACTGCCGGGTCGAACCAGGCGGCATCGTTATGCTTACGTATTATTTCGACGCCATTGGCCATAAACTCCCTAAAGCCCTGTAGCCAAAAAACTTCTACGCAGGCCTGCGCCCTAAGACTCCCAACATCTCAAAATCCTACGATGAAGACTCGTAGCAGGAGCTCGCCAGGCGTACCGAAGCCCCCCTCGGCGAGGAGGCATGCAGACCTTCGGTTTTTAGGCTTCTGGAGGTATTCGAAACCCTAAACCCTAAACCCTAAACCCTAGACCCTAAACCCTAAACCCTAAACCCTATAACCCTAAACCCTAAACCCTAAACCCTGTCTTCGTGATTTTGGGTTTAGGGTCTTAATTGGAGCTTCAAGGCCGTAGGGCTTGAGGCTTCATAGGTTGAAGGTCTTGTTCTGTCAGGGTTGATGGGTTTAGGGTTTAGGGTTTAGGGTTAGGGGTTCGGCGATGTGGGGCTGTCGTGCTATGTTCTGCGCTTGGTACTTCGGGTTTTCACTATCAATAGTCATTGTGGATGGGTTTTTTAGCAGACCTGCCAGCCGGGATTGATTCAGGGTTCAGGGAAGTTCTTCATGTTGACGATGCAGGATGAAGCGTCTGGTAGTTTTCGCCTAAACCAGTACAGACCCCTTATACAACTGAACCAGGAACCCTGTGATGCAACCGTTCAACCCCCCAGAAGTCAGCAGGAGGAGAAGCCCGATGGCATGTCCACAGCGGCATGGCGCATGCAGAGGAGATGTAGGCAAGACCTCTTGCTGCCAGGACTCATGTATGTACAAAGTTTGGAAGTCCTGTGGCCCCATAATTTCGGTTGCCCAGATATCTTTTTGCACGAGTTCAGCAACTGTTGAAGGCGTTTTTCCTACAGCAGCCAAGACACCCTAAGGAGCAAGGATCCGCCACGCTCTACGGTTAAGGTTAGGGTCTAGATGGTTGTATTCTTGAATAGATACATCTTCCAGACAGGCGCTCTTTGCGTTCGAGCATGTCTGAATGCCTGGATTAAGCCGCCAGCCACGTCTTGACCCCCACGTCTGATCAGGACCCACATCCAAGTAGGATTAGACGAAAAGTAGAGTTTCTTGCTGCATGTATGCAAAGGCTCCTCAGGACTGCATAGGGAGCGGGATAAGGGGTTAAAAGCCTTTGCTTTGAAAGGTATCTGTAATTAATGTGGCTCCGCCTCTACAAAAGCAGGCGCAACAACGTGATCCCACCACAAGGCGCTTACTTGGGTTTTGGGCAACCCCAAACCCTAACCGTTACTACTGCTGTCGGTATGGTACCTGATTCGACTTATTATTGTTATTATTATTATTGGAACATTATGCTTGTCATTCTTGGACTCCCCGTAGCACAAAGACTCTGATCAGGCGCGAGCTGAAACGGCCGGTCCCCGAATGGAGGATGATCTCGGTGTCTTGGCACGGTTTGGGGGGGTGTTTAGGGTTTAGAGCTTGGGTTTAGGGTTTAGGGTTTAGGGTTTAGGGTTTAGGGTTTAGGGTTTAGGGTTTAGTAAGCTTGAGTTTAGGGTTGTAGGGTTTGGGGATGTAGGGGTTCGGGGCACAGTATAGGGTTCAGGGGCTTCGGCTTTTAATTTAGGGGCCGGAGCTGAAGGGTTGACAACGGTAATATAATGTATAGGGGCCTTAATAATTACCTATATCATTATTTTGGGGGGGGTTCCTTATTATAAGTATAGTATAGTGGGCCCCACAGCCCTATTCTAATTATTAAGGTGCAGTATATCCGGACTATTGGCACACTTCGCACTGGCTCCACACTGCTATTCTACTCCAGGCCCTCGGCCTAGGTGTTTTATCGTCATTGGCATGGTGGCCGCTTCGCAGCTTTAGTAGTTTCCAGCCTGTAGAGCCACATCCTTGGCCTCACTTCTTGCCTTGCCTCTGCAATGGACGATGGTAGCTGGTAGCTCTGATCACAGTTTCCCTGGATGGGCCCTCGATGGCAGAGCTTTGCACGAGAAACTTCCGCCCAGCATGTGGTGTGTGACGCCGCAGGACCTGCGCTTCCTTCGGCGGGAAGTCCGCCAGGCAATCGACCATAAAGTGGTCATGCCGAGTATCGAGCCGGTCTTCGATGACGACTTCACTCCAGAGGATGAAAGAATTGGCCCCAGCATGTACAATTTGACCGACAACTATACCAAGCCTCTGACTCTGGTGCGCGGGACGGATCCGCGCGTTCCAGTTGCAGCCCAACAGGTCGTCGTCGGACTCCGAGAAAATTTTGAATACGTCCCCAACGCGTTGGAGACGGAATGGACCGAGCATGTGCGAAAAGGGCAAATCTGCGATTTAGCCTTGAAGCAGAAGGAGAAAGCAGCTTTGTGGTTAAACTACTCCACGGCCGTGTTCAAGCCAATCGTCGGCCAGCTGGCACGCGATCCTGAGCCGGATGAGGCTGAGGTCTTGTCTTACTTTTGGGACAAGCGCCAGTACATCGAGCCGCTGTCAGGTGTTGCGCGCCACCCACATGCCATATGCCCCGGGACAGGAGGCATGGACATGTTCGACATTCGGTATCTGTGTGCTGGGCAGCCACTGCAGTCGTACAGAGCCGAAGCCGCGCACGAAGTTGTTTGGGATGCACTACTGACGCAGGTCAGGTGGTGATTTCCTGAACATGAATTACGAGCATGGCAGTGGTAAAGGCCTATCTATCCCACTCTTCCTCAACATGTTCAAGGATCGCTGTTTGGAGTTTGATGATATCTACGGCTGGAACGCGCGAAGCGAGGACCATGCGAAATGGTGGGATCCGGTGCCACACGAGATCCAAGAAAGAACCCGGTTCTACAACATACGAGTTGAAGAGACACCATGCGAACAAAGTGTCGACGGAGTTTACGCGCAAAAAGGGCAGCTTCCTGCACATGTTGAACAAACTGCTATAGATTACGTGGTCGTAAAGGTGGACATCGACGGTGGACCGGAGTTGAACATCATGGAGGGATCGCACGCCACCCGGAGTTGAGCGCGCTTGTTGACGAGATCTTCTTCGAGTACCACTTTTGGTTCGACGGCAGGAGCTTCGGCTGGCCGGCTGTTTCCAAGGAGAGGTGGCTTAGGGTTTAGGGTTTAGGATTTAGGGTTTAGGGTTTAGGGTTTAGGGTGTAGGGTGTGGGGTTTAGGGTTTAGGGTTTAGGGTTTAGGGTTTAGGCATGCTGTGCAGTGTCTCTAGAGTCTACTGCAGATAAGGAAAGATCGTAGTTTCCCCTATAGGCCCTAAACCCATGGTGAATGTCGATGCAGAGCCTTGCACAGGTCTGCAACATCTACTCCCGCCTTTGGCGTGGCTATGAGGCATATCTGGCGACCTACTACAACAAGGCGGTTATCACTGCCAGGCTGGCCTTCGGGTTTACGGTCAAGTTTAGGGTTTAACAGTGAAAATAATAGTAATAATGGTAATAGTAATAATTGTGATAGTAATGATAATGATAGTAATAAAAATAGTAATAGTAATTACAATATTAATAATAATAGTAATAATAATAATAATAATAGGGTTTGGGGTTGTATATGAGAGTGAAGTAGAGTGGATTGGGGAAGTACGGCTGGAAGGAGTAACCTGGGTAGCCTCGGGAGGGGAGACGGCGGACTAGGAAAGGGAATAGTGGGATTAGGACGAAGAATACTACCTTAATATTTCTATTCTTGTGGTTGTCATTATCATTCTTCCAGTTGTTACGCCCCACTGCTCCCTATCAAGTATACCTGTAGTTTACTACTAGAGTCTATTGGAATATATGTTATGCTCTGCTTACAGAATATGGAGTATACTATCGAATATTCTTCTAATTACATCGTCTGAAGGCCCCCATTGAAGCGGCTCCCTTCTGCAGCAGTGGCGCTTGTGACCACAGTCACTGGTGCAGTTGCCGGATTCTTCTGGATTGCAGCAGGCAAAGCTGCTGCCAAACCAACCGACACGTCTGACACCTGGAAGGATGTGGTGCATTCCCTGCAAGTGTCATTTGCCTTGGGCGCGAAGCCCCCGTTTATCTTCGAAGATGTGGCAGCAGCATGTGCGGTTCTGGTGGTTCTCTGTGGCCGTTCCTCCCGTGCTATTGCCGGCCTCAACTGTTTGGGATCGTTGGCCCTGGGATTTATCCTGGGCTTTTGGAGCAGAATCTTTTCGACACTAGGGAACTTGCCGCTGAGAGTCGTGACTCAAGACCCCACAGGAGAGTTCTTGTTGATCCCATTATTCTTGATCTTCCTGGTCTCCAGCGAAATGGATGGACTTCATGCTGTGCAGTGAAAACACGTGCTCCAGACTGTTGCCCCATTGAAGGCCCTCGTCGTCGACCTCGTGCTCTTGGGTGTAGCGGTGTAGCGGCTGCGTGCTTCTTCTCCCATCTTGCTGGGCTGCGGGATTTTATGCGTGTGCCCGCAGCCCGCTGCCTCTTTGGTGCGTTTCGACCGAAGTGCACCAAAGGCACAAGCCCAGTAGCTAGAGTCTGCCGAAAGCGCAGACAGTAATTAAGCTCGAGAGTGCTGGCACAAGCTCCAATGCAATGTACTATACCTTTATAAAATTATATACTAGTAGTCAGACTTGATCATGCTACACCTTACTGTATAATACTCTGCTACACTACATGATACGAACACTAGACTAAGTTTGGCTGTGCTGCCTTGTACTGCAGTGTACTGTACGCTGCTGTACTGCGTGCAACGATACATACATATACATTTATATATATATATATATATATGACTATATGGGCACTATACCAGTATACGCTCTAGCCTTTCCTCTCCCGTTGCCTCTCGCATCGAACTGTCAGAGGATGCGCCGGGTGGAAAAGTCACAGGCACTTGTGTCATTGCAAAGCAGCGTCAGGGGCCTGTGCTTTTGTAGCGATTGGGATTTCGGGTTTTGGGCTCTGGACCTGAAAGGCTCACTCTTATGCTCCAGACCTGAACATTCCAAGCCTCAAGCCCCAACCTTCATACGCGCAGGCCGCCAAATCCCCACCCTAAACCCTGCTACCCTGAAGCCCCCAATCCAAGACTAGCAACATAAACCCGAAGCATGCCTAAACCTTGTACCCGACAGCCTAAACCCAAAACCTAAGCCAAACTGGTGCCAGATTGAGCAAGTCACCACGAACCACACGAAGATGGCACCCGGGATGTCAGTGCCCTGGGACTTGACCTTTCGGGTTTTAGGGGTTACGGGTTCAGGGTTCAGGGTGGAGGGGCCCGGGGGGCTTGGGGACAAGTTTCCGGCCTTACTTCGTCTGGATGCGTTTGGTTTATGTAAGGTCAGTGTACCTTAGCCTGTGAGAATCCACTTCTGGTTCAGGCCGCTGAAATCTCTAGTCAGCGTATTTATGAAGACCCTGCAAGGAAGGAGGTTCTAGTACTGTGATATAGGGGTCGGGAAATTACGAAAATCATTGCGTTATGGTCATAGTCATAGTCCGTATATAAGACTAACAGAAGTAGCAACAAAAGTATAATGTTACACGACAGCCATCTATTCAGTTCCATTACTTCAGGCCCCGACAGTAGCTTGAGGTAGGACCCTCAACCCTTGCGGTGTCAGGCTCGCATGTTTCAATATCAGTTCTTGAAGTCGGCTTCGGATATCGGGTGTTTTCTTCGGGTTAAGGGTGTCAGAGTTTTCAATTTAGGGCCTCGGGTGTAAAGGTTTACTGTGTGCAGGATATGATGGTGGTGGGGGCTTAGGCGTCGATTCGAGAGACGGCCATGTGCTAGAGGTCCAGCATCAGGAAACAGGGGTCGGGTTGGGTTTTGAGGTTAGGTTTAGAAGTTTAGCTTTCGGTATGATTCTGGTTTTGATTTTTACAGATGATGCACGGGTCCAGGTTGTAACCGACAATAAGCTTAGAGCCCGAGGCCGCGAACCTTGAACCTTCTGATTCTGAACCTCAGGCCATACATCCCAAACTACAACTGCTGCTTTGCCCAACCCCAAACGCTACAACCTCAATTGTAAACCCTAAGCTATACACAGCCTTTGGTGGCTTCTTGACGTTCGATTCCCTTCAAGTGGTCTTTGTTAGTAGGAACATACCGCTCAAGGCATGGCATGAATTCGGTTCCCCACGATTTTCTGAATTCGGGTCCACCAATTCTGGTTTCGTAAGACTTTGAACCCTAAAGTCTACGGTCGTGTATTGAGCAGCGGGCTGTATACTTCGGGCCATCAGAGCCCTTAACTCTACACCATAAATTAAGCACGAAGAGGGTGATATAGGCATTCAAGCGATCAGGGGCGTAAGGTTGGTGTCCAGCCGTGGCGAGTTTATCTTTGGACTTATCTTGAGGTTTAGGCCTCGTAGGCGTTGTCTGCAAGGTTTGCTGAGCCTCGTTTTGAAAAGCTCCAATCGCCAAACCTGAGACCCTAAACCCTTGTAACCAAGTGCCAAACTACAGAAATGCCGTTGGATTAGAGCCTGAGGGAGTTTTTATCAACTATGACCTGCACCTCCAAATCCCAAAACCATCGGAAAGACACCGCCCCGAAGCCCAAACCAGCCTAAACCCGAAGCCATCGAAGAAGCCCTGAACCCTAACCCTAAACCCTAAACCCCCAACCCTAAACCCCCAACCCTAAACCCCTAAACCCCTAAACCCCTAAACCCCTAAACCCCTAAACCCTAATCCCGAACCCAAGCCCTGACCCCCAAACTCAGCTTCCTGCGGCTCCGTCAGGTTTTATGGCCTGCAGTTCCCATGGACGGAGGACCGGTGCAATCCAACTCATAGGGTTTAGGGTTTAGGGTTTAGGGTTTAGGGTTCTGGCTTCCGGAATAGGGCGGGGGCAGACCGCCCAAAACCCCTAGCCAAATAAGACACAAATTTGAAGCCGAGCTTATGCCCTGAAGTACTAAACCTCAAATCCGTGAAGCCCCAAACCACCATAGAACCCCTATCTGAACACCGATACCCTAAGGGTCCATAAGTAGGCCCTTGGGTTTATTTAGGATAGTCAGTATCTGAGAGAGTGTTGACTAGCAGGCGCTTGGAGCCTTAGGGACAGAGCCTGGTAGAGGGCTGCAAAGACCTATTCCCAAACCTAGACCCTAAACCATAAACCGTTAGGGTTTAGGACTACAGAAGCCTGAATAATTGCCAACCTTATTCCTTCCATACACTGCCGTCTGTTTTCGAGCGATCCTGCACCGTTTTCACCTGCTACGCCAAGCCACTGTTCTGATTGTTAAAGGCTCCTACTCCTACAGTAGGATATCTGTTTCACCTTGTGCATGATTCTTGGGACGCAATGCCTCGGCCGTCCGACACTCCGCAATCCAATCCAATCCAATATGGGAGTTTCAGAAAATTAGGGTACCTTAATTATTCCTCAGGTCCCTCACTATAAGTATACTCTAAAGGGGCCCAAAACCTTATTCTAATTGTTAAGGACTCTACATTATAGGGTTATAACCCTAAACCCTAAACCCTAAATTGTAGGGTTAGGTACATCCAAAGGAGATGCTGTTGAGCTCCAAGTTTGGTGCCGAGTGGCTGACGCAGGCGGAGGGCTTTTCCTCGTTCAGCTGGGAGTTGATCGTTCTTCCCAAAGAGCACAATACCCCTTAAACAAGGAATATACCTTAAACTATAGGGGCCTTAATATTATGATTTAAGGTATATTCCTGAACTAAGCGGTATTGGGCTCTCTGGGTTTGTAGGGAGGGTTCCTGGGCTTGTGGGTTTCACAGTCTTAGGGGGTTTGGTGGGTTTTTTCGGGTTCGGAGTGAAAGCCCCGGTCTTTCAGGGTCTTTAGGCGTAGGGGGTTTCGGGCTTTAGGGGTGAGAGCTCGGGGCATGAAGCAGCAGGGCATTTAATTTAGGGTTTAGGTTTAGGGTTCGGGGTTTAGGGTTTAGGTCTGCTATCTGAGTCGTGAAGTTTCAGGGTTTTGGAAGGTCTGGTTGGGTTTTCCACGTGGTTTTGTCGGCATCTCTAGGCAGTGACGTCGGAATTTGGGTTTGGTTTCTGCACACATTTAGGGCGCCTCTGCGCTTTATGGATTGAAGATGTGTAGTGGCTCATACCTTGCTCTATGTGTCCACCGATTGAAAGAAAGCTAGGGTTTACTGCGTTTACCAGCATGTGGAGTCGTTTGTTCGTTGGTGATTGGGTCATAGTGCTCGGTCGATGAACATCTGTGATCTCAATGTATTCACCGCTGTGTTCATTACCCTTCAGCCGTAAGAGCCCGAATGTAAAATCCTGAGCCCTCAATCGCCCCAAAACATCAAACCCAAATCCGAAGGTGAGCGGGTTTAGATGATGGTGTAGGCTTTGAGTTAACTAACCCCCAAAACCCTCACTGCTCCGTTTTTCAGAGGCCATGCACGTAGCTGGCACACTGCCATTGGACAACAAGGTGTCCTGTGCTCAGCTGCCTAGATATGGGTGGTTGTCAAAATTATGGTCCCTTTTTGGGTCCTTATTATAATACGGCACCTATTATTTAGGGTACCCCAGAAGGGACCCTAATTTTGACAACTACCCATATTTACTGCGTTGGGGCGTGCGGAGCCTTTGCACCTGAAACCTTGACTGCGGTGTTCAGGGTCTAAACCTTCAACTCTTCACCATAGCCCAAAGCCCGATGAGGTTACAGCATGGTGCCGTAGGGTTTACGCATGTGGCTTCGGCCATCGAAGGGCTAGACACGAACAGATGGGGATTGCAGACTAGGGCCCAGGGTTCCATTAGGGTTTAGCGTTTAGGGTTCAGGGATCAGATCTCTGGGTTCATAAAGGGTTTGTTCAGGGTGTGATCTGCCCCTAAACACTGTGCGAAGCAGAAATATGCAGATGTAGACCAGCGTAGCTGGGGTTGTGCGCTTGATATAAGTTGGAATGGCCCGTAGTGGAACCACACCAGCAATCAGCAACTCTATGATCCGCTGCAGGGCATGCGATGGACAGAGACTTCTCACAGCTTCCCGTTGCCCAAATCCAGTCCTGAGCACCAACGACAACCCATTCGAATTTAATGTACTATCCTGGGGCATGTGTTGGGTTTAGGCCCCTTGTCGTCTCAGGACGAAGGTCAGCGCTGACCCGTTCAAGATCACCACCGGCCGCCCTGCGGCACAAAAGATGTTAAGCTGTGCGCATGCACTTTGAAAGCAACCCTCGCGAAGTCGATGACGTCGACGACCTATTACCGAGTGCGTTTAAGAGTAAAGACAGTGGTTTAGTGGTGCCTGTACTACGTATAATTCTACTGAAGACACTCATGGTTTCTACTACGACTGGTAGTTACCGGCACTGGTGTTATCAGGGGGACGTAGTGGTGCGAGTAGTGTGCAGAAGTAGTAGAAGAACTGCATCACCAGCGGTCGTCGTGCCCTGGTAGCAGCAACAGTGGTCGCTGCGGTGGCCCACTCTTGTAGTAACAGTGTGACTCGTCGTGGTAGCACAGTTACATTAACCACTGGCAGTAACCGCAGCAAAGGCGCCTTTACCGGAGCAGGAACAAGAGCAGCAGTAGCAACTAGCAGTAGCAGTAGCAGTAGTAGTAGTAGTAGTAGTAGTAGTAGTAGTAGTAGTAGTAGTGGTACTGGTACTGGTACTGGTACTGGTACTGGTACTGGTACTGGTACTGGTACTGGTACTGGCACT